AACCAAAGAATCCTAACCCTAAATCTTTGCTCAATTAAACTAGAGTCTCAACAGCATCTTCATTACATATTTATATTCACATTCCCTGACTTAAGCCACCTATAAAGGAAGGTACATTGTCTTAATCTTCTGGGAAAAGGAGAGGCAGGAAGAAGACTTAGCAATTATCTAAGAAAACATTGTGGTGTGAGTTGTTAGGGGCTTTGGTTTTGTTACTGTGACCCACACAGCGCAATAGGTTAATGTGCACCTCGGTGTACATCTCATTTCAAAGCAATGTTTCTAGTGCCAAAACAGGCACTGTCAATGCAGTGTGGTCATAACTTTTTAAGAGATGATTCTTTGCTTGTTGCACTAAAACTTGTGAAAGAAAATGATGGCTTTGCTCTTCAAGAGATGCTCATACAGAACTGGACTTTGATCTCACTTCTATGGGTTTTACTATGAAAAGTAATCTACTAAAGGGACCACTTATAAAAAAGGCAGAATTGTGCTTTTTGTTTAGATGGCGGCAAGACATCCTTTGCATTAAAAGGGAAGTATCATTTACAGCCCAATGAAAGTATCTCTACATATCCCTTCAAAGCAAAAGCAATTATATGAAAAATTTACTTTGCTGAAGATGAAGTCTCAAAAGGTTTTCTTAGCTAATAAAGCTTATAAACAAAACAGATTTGAAAGGAACATCCTGTTAACCACTGTAGCACAGCTAGCTGAAACAGACTGCTTCCTCCCCCTATGTTTTCTCTTGTGTCAGATCAAGCATTTCACAATTTAAAATATAATTAAAATTTAGAGTACTCAGGGTGGAATAATTATAATTAATTATTGTGAAAATGGGCGTGGAAAAGCCTTATGACCTGTTCTTAATAATCTGACTCACTCTACACTGCAGTACCTGCAATACTTAATTTGTGAAACCAGTGTAATTGTATTTGTAATATACACTATCATGATGATGTGATGAAAACAAGCAGATTGCTAGCATGCCAAACGAGGAATTGGCGGCATGCTCCATGCATGCTGGCCAGCCTTCTGTCCTGCCTACAACTAAATTGCCAGCAAAGCAAAATAGCTAAGCTTTTGCTTAGCAGGGACAACACTCTGATCTCACCCTCAAAATAGAGAATTTCCTGCTAACAGGCCAAATTAACTGCTCTTACTCAGCACCTTGCTGAGAGCAACAGGAAGAAAACAAGCAGGAAGAGGTCAGGGAGAAGGGGAGAGCTGGAGTCTCTCAGCCCATGCAGCCGACTGCCCGTTGGGATGTGAACACCCTTCAGGGGTCCCTGTAACACCAAAGTATTTTGGTGTTCCTATCAAAGCAGGAAGGTTTCAACAGGATTTTCCTTCCTCAGCCGTGGTAGTTAAAAAAGCAGGTATTTCAGTGTGGCTCCCATGGGCGCAGCTCCTTCCCCTTGACACCCTAGGCTGATTCATTAAGATACATAAAAGGATTGCATTGATGCACCGAGGGGACAAGGAATGAACAAGTTTTGAATATTCCCTGCCCTTTGCATACCAAACACCTATGCAAATCTGTCCTGAGAATAGTAAGGGGGCTGAATCACCATGCTACACTGGGTTTTGATCTCTTATCACTTTGACGCTAGTAGCAACACTGGCTCTAGTGAGGTTATTCCTGATAATGTTGATGCAGGAGCATCAACAGGATCCCAAGTCAGAGCCATGCAATTTCAACCCAGCCTTCCAAAAGGCACAGGATGGAGCTGGACGCTTTGCTGAGAGCGGTGTAGCGCAGCCCACAAGATCCTGGTTCAAGCTGGACAGAAATTGGACTCAAACATGTAGTAAAGAACACGTAGTATTTTACTTAAACATTGATGTTTACTTACACATTGATTATGTAATGCCTTTGCATTGATCCAATTATAGTCAAATGACCATACTTTTGCAGGTATATAGTGACTAATTTTAAATTTATCTGTAGCCCATGACACAGCCTCTGCTTTGCGAGATGGTGCTGCTTAGTACAAGTGAAGCAGCAGCGTTAGATCTTACCTTCACTGAAACATTCACCCCTGAGCATTTTGCTTGCATAGTTATTTATGGAATGACTCATGAAAAACAAATAAGCAGGGAAGGGAATTCAGTGCTTTCCGTTTTCCTGTGACTGAGTCAGGTATCCGCAGAGCTGGACGCCCAGTGGCCCAGCTTGCTCCTGCCCTGCGACACCCAGGGGAGCCAGAGTGCCCCACAGCTCCTTCATCGCATGGATGGATGCCCCAACAGCAGCTCAGTGTTAGCCCTGGGCCCCTGCAAATACTAACTGCCTGCTGGCAAACTCAGCAGGGCCAGGACTCATGCCCAAACGTGGGCACACATTTGTCTGGACGGTGAAAGCACTCTAGGCTTGGCTGGGGTCAGTATGGCCAGGAGCCACTTGGGATGGGACCACCTTGTCCAGGAAGACTGGAGGTGTGGATTGCACCTCCAAGTGTCCCTTTTAGACATAATCTCCATGTACCTCTGGCTAAACCTGCGCAGAGAACTGGGGTGCTCGTTATTACCCAGTGCTTTCCACCTTCGGTGCTCTGGTTGATGAGCACTACAAACGGCTACAGAAATGTTAGGTGTTACAGGCACACACCTCCCTTCTGATATCTCCCAGGCTCGGGACTGGGGAGCTGGGACACTGAGACGATTCCTAACATCGCAGCCAAGGTTTTCACTAGTGATGCCGGTGGCTGCGCGCCGTGTGCTGTGACCCAGCAGGCAGCTGGCGCAGCCCTCACCCTGCACGTGGTGCCACAGGCCAGCCTGCACCGTGGGGCAGGACGTGGTGACAGTTCTTCGCAGCTGCAACGTGTGCCACGAATTACCCAGGAACCCACATTTCTCACAGCACTCATCTGTAGCACTAGCTGACTGCATCCCAAAGGTATGCATCATTAAAATAATCTACTCTGTGTATCTTTAGCTAACTAGATAGATGGTGGGAGTCAGTGTGATGGCATTGCTAAACTACAGCGTCATTATCTCTTGCACCGTGAGCAGTTAACGTATCGCTCTACAGTCCTGGACTTTGCTTTGAGGAAATTCTGCTCTTGACACATATTGTTTGCACATGCAATAAGGAAATAGTATCACATTTTTTTTCTCTTCTTTTTCTTTTCTTAGCAGCCCGTAGTAGCTTAACAAAGTTATTTGATGTAAAACTTCCAGAACTTTCAGTCAGATCTTCTTGGGGTGTGTAGATCTGAATTGTGCCACATGTTTAGTACTCAATTACTGGGATAGTAACACAGTTACTTGCTGCCTAAACAATGGCAATGAAAAAAAAAACTATGAAATATGCATAGTTGTATGAATGGCCATCTTACGTCATTCCTGGAGAAGAGCAGAGGAGAGAGAAGAATGATATCAGAAGGGAGGCAGGCCAGCAATCCTGTGCAAAAAGGGGCAGTGGAAAAAATCTGGGCACCAGGGAAGATCATTAAAAAATTCAGTTATTTGATGAGAATGGATTCTGGATCTGCTAGAGGATCTTAAAGAGGCATTGAACATACTTCCAAAGGACCCTGTCAATATGCACTGCCTTCCCTTTATGACTGGAAATCATTGCAGCGAGGTCTGCAAAAGCCTCCCACATGCAGTGGAGAGATGTTTGGGCCGGTAGGGGTGCATCCGGATCTCCTCTGCCCAGGGGATGTGTTGCAGAAATCTGTGAAATACTTCAGTGGCAGCTTACATCAGTATCCACACACTCCTGTTTGCATCAGGAAAGGTATTATATGCACAGCCTGATTGCCTACATCAGGCAGAAATGTGCCTCCTAAACTGGATGTTCCTGCATGTTGTTTATTTGGAAGAAAAACATGCTAATACACTCCTTTTCTTCACTGCTGTCATGCACACAGAGGCATTGTTTGCTAATTGTAAATTGCTTTTAAACTCTTAAACACAGGACACCAGATTTAGGTAGAAGTGCTGTTTCTTTAATGCAGCATTTGTTTAAAAACAAACAAACAAACAAAAGACAAAGCAAAGCAAAACAATTACAGGAGTCTGGCAAGTAAATATCACAAAAACAAAAACAGAGCCAAAATTGTACTTTTAATTTCCAGAGCTCAGGTTTCTTTGTGAAGTTGCATCGGGGGAACTGCCTCTTTTTTTTTGCAAAAAGGGAAACAAAGCACTCAGATCCACTCAAGAGTCAATGACAAAATTACGAAAAACTTCCAGGTTTCTTGTCTCTGCAGCCTGTGCACAACCCCTAGAAAAGATCTGGAATGTGGATTTCATTTTGAGACAGGCTGTCTCCTCAGCATCTTGGATACTATGCAATGTAACCCTTGTGTCCCACATGCTCAAAACCTCTCCATGCTTACTGAAAGCAAAGGAAACCAAACTAGACCCTCAAATCCATCACCAAAAATCCAAGACTGGGGAAGCACAGCTGACATATCCTGCAAATCTGTGCCAGGATCCTAGTTACTACCAAGACAAAACTGTTTTTTCCAGCTTATATCTCAAGCTAGCAGAAATGCTGTGCAAATCACTGCACTTTTTAGCAACAGGCGCAAAAACTAATGATAACAACACTAGGCACTGAGGCCTTGAGAAACGATTTCAGCCTTGAATGCAAATTTTGCTCCCTCACCAAAATATCTGAAGCCCAAATCTTTTATCACCCTCTTCAGGTAAGCACAGAGGGCCAGACTGCTTTGGGGGGATTAGTAAAACAAGCACTCTGCTGCTTTGCCTGTTTCCCACACAATTCTCACACATGGGACTGCTTGTCTCACAAATTCAATAGCAGCTAAAGGACAAGTGGCCCCCAGTCTCCCCTGTACCCGCCTGATGCTGGCCCAGGATGAAGTGGGACAAGCTGTTGGCTCTGTACAAAATAAAGGGCAGATACATTAATTTGTGGGGGGAGGAACTGGACCTTTATATTGGCATTGGGAGTGATGGGTTTCTTTGTTTTGGGCCAGGAATCCCATGACCCGATGTTTTTCCTGGAAGAGCATCATCACCTTGTGTGGGTTGTTCAGGGACTCAGCCAGCAGCTGTGCAGGGCTGGGAATGACAACTAATAGGGTGGCCCAAAATGGAGCAAGGAGGATGAAGTTGGCACCGTGCAGAGCAGCGCACGTCTCCCCGTCCGTTCGGAGGCGGCTGGAGGAGCTGCACGAGACGGCCACGGCTTCGCTCCCCGACGCTGCCGTGGGGAGATTTGCACCTCTGACGCCTGCACCAGGCGGTGGCAGCAGCACCCACCACATCGCGGCGCAGAGATGCACCCAAACCCCAGCCGTGCCCCAAAGGAGCAGCCAAGGAGCAAGTAGGAACATCTGGGGACTGAGGTCACCGATTTAATCTCAAGGGAAGGGCTGAGCTTATTGTGCAGGCAGCGCCTTTAATTCCTCATGGCTAGGAGGAGCAAGTGGTTCCTCACAGCCTTGGCTTGGGCTTTCCCCTTTTTTCACCTACGGAAATAGCGATAACCACAGTACACGCATGACTCAGCTACCAGAGCTTCGGGAAGGAAGCAACAATCTCAGGAGCTTCCCACCGAAACAGGAGTCCCAGCAGTGCCGAGCCAAGGTTCTGTTGCTGGGCCGGACCCTCCTGCATCTAACACCGTGTGCGTGGCCAAGAGCTGCACGCAGGGACTCGCTCCTGTGCATTCTTCTACAGGCGACAAGCACAGACCATGACGTTCATTTATCTCTGTAGCTTTTGAGCTTCACCATGGAGCTCCTGATTCTCCTTACTCAGTATTTTTGGTCTGCTCTGGTTTTAAGTCTTCTGAAAGACTTAAACATTTACATGTGATTTTTTTAAAAAATGTGTATTTCTCTGGTTGTTTTCTTGATAGCTGCCATGAGGATATATGGCATGAGCTCTCTGGCTGTGGCAATTTTTAATTTCTTATGAGACGCTTGTGATCTTGAAAATGAAAAATTAGATGAATTGCTTGGCCACTCCAAGAAAGCAGAACAGCACTCGTGGGATTTGCCACTGGCTAGCACAGACACGGCCCCATCAGGCTGAATGACTCATTGGATAATCCTCAAAACACAGCAGCAGTAGCGCTTGCCGGGAGCTGCAAAGTGCCCAACACTGCCTTCTCTACCGGGTGGATTTTCAGTTCCTAATTATAACCTCATTAGCTAAGAAGAGCAAGTAATACTTAGACACGGTGTTTACAGCTCCCAGAATCAGCAGGGGTTTTGCAGAGCTGGAGTCGAGGCAATGCTGATGTGCAGTCCTCCTAAAGCATCAGTTAGAGGCCCATCATAATCATTTCTTGGTGTTGGACTCCTCGTGTGCCTGGTAGTGACTCAGCACATAGCTAGCAGCAGCTTTAGACACAGACAGCTACTTTTAGGTTATAACGTGAACACAGGAGGGTCGTCCTACACAATAATCACACTCCTCCCAATAGCTTCTTAGACATGTCCAATAACTTCTTTTGTTTTTTTCCTAGCAAACATCTGTTTCTGGCAGCAGGTTTCTTTGCAGCTTTGCTGCAGCACCAGTTAGCAGCTCCTTCTCATTTGTTTTACTGCTCCTTCATTAAGACTGACACATAATCAATGCTGTTGATAGGAGGCAACAGCAGGGTGGCAGGACTGCTGCCCTAAACTCAGACGTTGCGCCACGCTGAGTTCTCCTTTCCTTTTTCCTTTACGTGCAAGAGCACATCCCGCTCCAAGCCTGGCTATGGAGCTGCAAACTTGGTGCAACTTCTGCCATCAGTGCATTTCACTGCAAGGCGGACGACCTGGTGGGATTTACCAAAATTCTTCATGCCCGTCTTCCTAGGCTGTTTGCAGGGAAACCCTGGCAGGATCCTGCCTGGAGCCTGTCCTCAAGCCCTGGCTGTCAGGAAGAGCACAATCCCCACTACCCCTTTGGCACTGAGGGCTGCAAGGATGGACATAGTGCAGATGAAGAATGCTTTTCACACACCAAGAACGCTAGGGAAATTTCAGCTTTCTCCTTGGTCTCAGGGCACAGAAAGTGTCCTCCTCCTGTTCGTATCCCCCTCCTGTATCAGGGATACAGAAAGAACCCCCTTCCACCACTCTTGGGCTCTGCTTTTCCGGCAAGGCAGATCCAGGGCTGTGACTATGCAAACTCAGCCTGGCTAAGCTGGCAGCAGGAGCTCTTGGAGCCTGTGATGCTGCAGCTATAAATCCAGCTGCACTTGTAGCTAAGCGCATTTGGAGCTCTCTCCTTGTTTGGAGTTGTTCTTCATGGTGTGGGTGTTGTTCTGCTCTTGCAAAGATGTTATTTTGTTTCCCAGGACTCAGGGAAACCCTAAGGATTACTAAAACCCTAACATTTTCCTCAGTGCATTGTGTTGCCACCAGTCACTCGGACTTTGACAGATGTTCACTGGCAAATCTTATACTACTCCATCCTGCTCTATGATCATTGCCATAAGCAATTGGAGACACCTTGAAGTCTCTCATTAGTTGGCTTTAGGCTACAGCTTCTCAGTGCTTTGTCAGGGTAGACCTTGCTAGCTAGCAGTCAGCAGTTGGCTGAGGACTGAATTGTCCTTAATTTTTTGCAATGTGCAATGCGAGTGTTGAGGTCCCTCAGAGGCTGAGCACAATTCAAGACAGCTAATAACATCTAGCATCCTGCAGACTGTTGGGATGGGGCTGGGTCTGCTCCCAGGTGCACTTGAAAGGCACAGGGCAAGTCTGGCTGTCCCACATCCCTCTGGTGGCATTTCTTGCAGCTTGTATGCCAGAGCTTTGGCCTAATCTTAGAAATGCTCAATGGAAGAGGACATCTACAAGACAGACCAAGTCATTCCCCAGCACATCAATAAGATTTACCCCCTCAGTCTTACTCCTGTGGCTTATGCCTGTAAGGAGCATTTTGCTGGAACACATGGGACTGCAAGTTGTGTGGAGATGACACCACCACATGCCCATGTGTGCAGACATTCGAATGCCACTGGGAATGTGTTCAGGCACGTGAATGGCCCCAGTAGAAAAGGACACTAGCGTCCAAGGCTCCTGGAACTCCTACAGGCATCTAGATGCGCTGCTCCTTACTGGTAACTGGGGTAACTGGGCATCCAAGCACCCACACAGACACAGATCGCCAGCATAAGGTCACTGCTGCAGTGGTGGCAGCCAACAGCAACTTTCTCAGAGACATCCTAAGTGCAACTTTGCAACCTTTTTTTTTTTTTAAAGTGGAGCTGAATTGCATCACCAATGCTGTCTCTTGGTCTAAAAGCCAAACTCCAGGCTCTGTGGGGTTGCTTGCAGTCTTTCCAGCTTTGCAGAGTGATGCTTTGAGACCCACTCAACTCGCTTGATAAAATGTGTCAGTACTGGCCTATTTAATGGCAATCTGATCCTGCTGTTAGTGCCCAGTGCCAAGGCTGGTCTGCAACAGGCAAAGCCCCAAGGAGCCGCAGCATCAGCCCAGAGCACACAGGGCTGCAGAGAACCAGGAAACCTCCTCCTGGGAAATTGGGTTGCTAGTGGTGGGACACAGCCTCCTGGGGCAGCCTCCCCCACAGCGTCCCTCCTCCCCGGGGAGAGCCTGAATCTCCCCGTTTTTCCTCTGTGATTCTTGTCTTGGTTCCCTTCTCCCATGCTGGTTTTTGCAACTGGAGCTGCCTGGCGCTGCCTGACACCAGCCAGCACTGCAAAATCCAATGTTACCAGCATTCCCTGGGTGACTTTGCGCTGGCTCCACTTCACAGACACATCAGAGAAAAGGAAGTAGATAAGAAGTGCAGCAGCAGAGTGGTCTTAGGAAAAGAAAGTTGAACAAACAGGAAAACTATAGCCCTTAAAGAGCCAACTTTAGGAAGATTTCTGTGGTAGATCAAATAAAAATTGTAAAAGCAAGGTGTATTTGATATGTCAAAGTTAGGGTGACTGTCTTCGTCATTCCACATTTAATGGTATCCCCTACATGTTACAGGCACAGGGGCCAATGAATTTAGCAAAATCTGCCCCAACCTGCCAAATGCCTACTTGGAGCTATCTGTAATAAATGCAAAATTAAAGAAACTCCATTAAGGCGTAATGGAAGCTCTCCATGGGCATGAGGGAAACAAACCCCACTAATAACGTTGTTTGCTGGGTAAACGCCAGGGCGCAAGGCTGTCCCATGGGGAGAGGGCACAAGGAACCCTCCAAAGCCTGTGGGGGCTCCTTGTGAGGGCTGGCCCCATCAGACCCTCAGGCCTTGAGGTGAGAGCCGCCAGCTCTCTGTGGGCAGCCTGTTTGGGAGGTTCAGTCATGCGTCGCACCACAGCAGGTAACGTGGAGCCACGTCCTGTGGCTGCTGCTCTGGGGGGCTGAGAAAAAGCCCTCCTCGCTTTGCAGCATCCAGCTGTGGGACAGATGACCTGTCCACACTCTCTGGTCTCTCCATCCATCCCCTGTTGTTTCAATCAAACAAATCCAGCACAAGCTCAAGTGGGCCCACCTCATGCTCCTATTATTTACATGTCTCTGACTCCTTCTGCACATCCCAGTCCGCCCAAGTTGTAATCCACCCATGAACAACCTTTGTCACATATGGAGCTTTACTTTCTTCTTGTTTGGCATGAAGTTGGCAACACTCTGCTGTCTGAAAGGCAAATGTTGATTCACAGCCCTTCCCACCTCCACATCCTGAAAGCAGGCTGCCCTCCCTGGGAATGACACTCTGCAAACAAGCCACGCAGGACTAGGGAAGAGTCATCTGTCCTCCTGAACTGACATCTTCTCAGTAGCATTAAGGCACCTGATATTTTAGAAAAATGAGTGTTTTTATCAGCAACTGAAGTTGTCCTGGTTTCACCTTCAATGCTGCATCAGTACACAGACCTACTGAGATGCAAAATCATCAGAAATCCAGAAGTTACATTGCAATTAACTTATAATATCTCGGGTCATGGCTTTCCCAGTCTGTGCAGCATTGGAGCTGCAAACTCCAGGTCCTTTCCTCTGCCCATCCCTGGTCTTATGTCTCCCACACACCCTGCAGCACTTGCTTTGGGGACAACTGGAGACATTGACCAGGTGCTAAGGTGGAAAGTTCCTTCTGGATCTGGATGTGGGAACCAGTGAGAAGATATATAAATGTCACTGCCAGGTGAGAGAAAAACAGGCTAATTCATACTGGTTCCTGTTATCACATCCAATATCCTGTTCCATCAGCCCCACAGCATCCATGAGGCCAAAACTTTGACCCTGCCCACCAGGCTGCTATCAAGCCCTTGGAGACTCTGAATTTCTAGACTGCCCAAGGT